CCTTTCCCCACTGTCTCTGCCCTTCCTTCCCTTATTCCCTTTTCCCCAAGACCACGCACAGCTCGGGACCACAGTCCCCTGGGTGCTCCTGTCTCAGTTGGTCACTCTGGGACAGAAACCTGATCTAGAGCTTGAAGTCTGGGCCAAGTTAGCACTGCCTGCAGGAGGGATTGCTTCCTGGGAAGTCCTACTTCAAACTTCTGGCTGGCCTAGTGCTGGGTAGGGAGCATAGGAAATGTGGATATCTGGGTGGTTTTGGCTTTCAAGGTACCTGTCTTCAGAGAGAGAAGCATGGGACAGAAATTTCCATAGACCAATCTAGAAAGTGACTCCAACCCACTGAGATGGCCCCAATACCCTCTGTTCTGTCCCATTCAGAAAATTGCCACTTCCAAGCCTCCCAGGAGATTTCAGGGCCAAGATGGAGGCTCTGATTCTTGAATGATCTAGTTACTTCTCAGAGAAAATATACCTTCTGAAGCTCACATGTCTACTTTTCAAAGATATGTCCTTATTCACTGGGAGGGGGAGAACGCATATGGGTTGCTCCGTGTGGGCGTAAGGCAGCATCCTTGCTGGATAAAAAGGACAGCATACCTTTCGCGGAAAGTAGCAGACTACTCAGGGGTCAAGTGCCTGCTTTGTTTCTGGGGGCAACAACAAGGAGTGTAAGCCACCCCCATCCTTCTCTTTTACTTGGGAGTTTTGATTGCTCATAAGTGTCCTCCCCCAACACAGGGTAAAGGATCATTTTGATGATCTCATTTTGGACAAGTGAGAAGAGAAAGCCTTTTAACTCTGACCTGCATGACTGCTTGCTATGCAGTGGGCACTTGGGTGGGTAGGCAGTGGGTGGCAGCAGCTGCCAGACACCTTCCCTTGAGGATGCATCAGTTGGTGCCAAAAGCCTATCTAAGCTCTTTCTGATCTCTGTGCCAGGGGCAGCCAGTCCTGGAAGGAAGCCAATAGGTCCACCATGAGCCCTGCATTCTTCTCCTCCCCCTCATCCTCCAAGAACAAGGAGGAGTAGCTTGAGAGCCCACAGGAAAAGGAGCTGATGGGTCTTGGACACATTTTCCAGCTGTCACACCTGCTAACATGGGAACTCACACTTGTATGCACACACTCACACTCAGCAATAAATTCAGAGTCAGGCTTTCTTGTTCCATCTGTCCTCTGCCCAGAGCAATGGCAATAAGAACTTCCATCAATAAACTGTTGTTCCCAGTTTGTCTCCTCCCTCTCTCCTTCTTTTCTCCCTTCCACCAACACTTATCAAACTCTTAGATGAGCCAGTCACACTGCATTAGGGGTTAAAGATACAAATAATCTTGGGATTAAAAACATTTATGAGCACTAATATGATAAAAGGCAGGCTGGGATTGTAGCTCAGTGGTAGAGCACTTGCCTAGCACATGTGAGGTCCTGGGTTCGATCCTCAGCACCACATAAAAATAAATAAATAAAATAAAGGTATTGCGTTCAACTACAACTAAAAATTTCTTTAAAAAAAAAAAAAAGCAATGATGCAAGTGGTGCAGTATGGAAGGTGGCAAACTGGTGGCCCTGGGCCAAATCTGACCTGCTTATATGTTTAATCTGGCAAAGAATTCCAAAAAATGGGAGAGTTCATGAAAACTCAGGATTTCCAGCTTTTCTTTTCTTTTTTTTATGTTTATTTATTTATTTTTTTAGTTTTTTAGGTGAACACAATACCTTTATTTTATCTTTATGTGGTGCTGAGGATCAAACCCAGTGCCTCACGCATGCCAGGCAAGCACACTACCACTTGAGCCACATCCCAAGCCCCAACTTTTCTTAAAATAACAAATTTGGCCTCAATCAGGAAGTGAAAAGTCACTGCACATTGTAGGTGGGACAGGCACTCTCAATTTATCACAGGTCATACTCTCCTTCACCCACTCCCTTTCCTACTGACTTAAACCTGACTGCTTCACTCCTGCATATTCTCAGCAATGATTTTGTGGGTGTTGGGACTTAGAACCTTCAACATGAAAGCCATCAGAGGCCCTAGGTATGAACAGTCAACTCTATTTGAGTAAAACATGTTAGTTAACCCTTGAACTAACTGCCTTGTTTATTTGTTTGTTTATTGTCCCTCTTCCCATAACCCTCAATGTGAATTGTAATCAAGGCTCCAGTCAGTGGCCTGCTTCATTGTACCTGCAATTCAGAGTGTGGTGCCTGTTATATGATTCATCTGAATGCATAATGGTGAAATGTGTTGAATGAACAGTCACTAGAAGGACCAATTGGAAAAGGAATTCTAAGAGGAAATTTCAGGCACAAAGGCATGACAGTAAATAGCATACAGGGAAACTACAAATAGTTGCTGGTGAATGGGGGTGCCGGGAGTGTGAGGTGGGTGGGATAAGCAAGCTGGAAGTAGCAGGAGTTGATGATGCAGGCAAAAGAGACTCCAGTGGGATCCTGAAGGGCTTTTTATGGTGCATTGAAGGTAACGGTGGAACCCTGGAAGTGAGGAGTGGAGTGACAGGATCAGATTCTTGATTCACAAAAATAGCTTTGGCAGGATGGCAGGGTGAGAAGTGAGCTCCAGGGGGAAGACAGGAGCAGCAAATAGAACCTTCAACTCTCACGTGTCCCCCCTTCCCCTTCCTGAAGCCCCTGGAACTCTCTTGGGAATCTATTTTTAGAGAATGGTGCCCCCTGCTGACGGAGTCTGAACCTGCACCTCCCCTGGTCCATGAGAGGAATTATAAAATTTTGGGCCCAGAACAAAAGCACCTGAAAGCCTTGCACACAGAACTGCAAGTTGTGATGTATGTGAAAGTGCCTTCCTAGGAAGAGAGGAGACCATGAGGACATTTGTGATAATGACTAATGCTACTGATAATGTTGCCAGATAAAATACAGAATGCCAGTTAAATTTGAATCTGGGGATATACTTAAACCAAAAAAGTATGTGTTGTTTATCTGAAATTCAAATTTAGCCAAGCATCCTGTATTTTTATTTGTTAAATCTGTTAGCCCTAGATAGTGTGTGGATGATGCCAGGTGAAAACTAGAAATGAAGCTGGATGGGTTGCTCTCCTCAGGTATTTCTGTATCCTCAACCCTAGTCCTCCATGCAAGCAGAGATGCAGGTGATGGCTTTTCATATTTTACAATTCTATCTGGGAAATCACCTTTAATTAATGGAGTCCAATGAGTATGGTGGAGCCTATGTACTAACCCCCTTGTTAATCTGAAGAGAACTGTAGATTCCTTTAAAAAAAAAACAAAAACGAATCTACCAGCTTGACATATCTCCTCTTTTCTCATGCGTGCTTGCGTGTGTGCGTGCACATCCACACACACAATTTACATAAAATTTCAGGGAGTTCCCAGCCTTTACATAGGAGTAACACATTCCCTCTAGGGCAGTTTGGGGTCCTGAATAGGAGCAAACAGCATCTGGTCCAAACTTAAGCTAAAACAAGGTGCTCCTCTATTCGCTCTGGACCCCAGAACACTGTGACAAAACCAGAAATAGCACTGTCCCTCCCCCTTGGTAAATGCCTTGAACCAATTCTTTTTTTTACTGCTCCCAGAAATTACAGGGAGTCAGGCGTATTGGGACAGAAAACCCAACAGCCCTTGTGGGCTCGTGCCTCAGCTAAGCGGAAGGTACTATATGAATCACTCTTCAATTCAAGTCCTTCCCAGTTCCCATTCCCATCCTTCATGCCAATGGCAGGCCCAGCCCACTGGCTCCCAGTCTGAGGACTGCCTGTCAGAAACTGGCTTTCACCAGTAGATGGCTACCCTTTAGAATACAGTCTGGACCCTCGGCTGAGTGATCAAAGCCACAGTCTGATCACTGTGAGCATGCTGGGGATATATATCTGGTAGGGCTGCCCAGGTCTCCTTGCAACCCTTCCTGGAAAGCCCTTGGAGCCTCTACAGCCTGCTCTCCTCCTGGCCCCACAGAGGGAAAGCAGCAGGAGCCAATGCCAGGGGATGTTTTTGGGTTCTCAGAATGTTCTAAGTCATGAAAAATCTCATCGCAGTCTGCTTCTATCGTTCTCCACATTTATCTGATATTGTAGTTCCTTTGCATTGTGCCATGGAACATAGCTGCCAAACCCCAAGTTGTATCAGGCAAATAATCATAACAATATACCCTACAATATATTATCAGAGTAATATTTTATGAATATTTTCTGCATTTAACTTGCAATTTACAATAGCAATATGGTTTTCAATTATAATTACCTTGGAAGGCAGAAAGCCTTTCCTAATTTTTTTTTTAGTTAAAATGTCCTTTTCTAATCTACAATGGTAATTTTTTTAAAAAAATTTTTTTAATATTTATTTTTCAAGTATCGGTGGACACAACATCTTTGTTTGTATGTGGTGCATGAGGATCGAACCCAGGCCGCAAGCATGCCAGGCGAGCGCGCTACCACTTGAGCCACATCCCCAGCCCTCTACAATGGTAATTAACTTTTTAAAAAGGTCCTTGAAAAAATAAAAAGCCAGCATACCTGTATCAGACCACCAAATTATTTGGAATTTCTACTGGGAATTTCCAGAGAACCCAAACAGCTGGGATCCACTGGCTTAGATGAGGGTTAAAGAGCTTCCTGACCCCCAGTGGTGGGAAGTCAGACAGGAGGCTCACTTCTGATTCCCACCCTCCCATGGAGTCCTGCCACCTTCAGGTGATACACTTGGGTGGATTTCAGGATTCCTACTCCAAATATGGAGAGACCTGCTTCTGGCCTAACCCTCCCCAGGAGTGTTCTAAGGATAAAATGTCACGTACTAAAGAGCTTTGGGAAAACAGGAGCTCTATAAATATATGAGATTACTGTTCCTAAAGACAGCTGGTAGGTTTTTGATGGGAAGGGCTGAATGATCCCACAGAGACCTGGGACAATTTCTCTGCCAGGGCATCTGGGGAAAATGACCAGCTCCACTCATAAATGTGCAAACTGTTCCCTGACAAGTGGAGCCAGACAGTGGAGGCTATAGGGCTTCTGAGGAGCTTTATTTTCCTTCCTTGGAGGACACAACTCAGGGACATACCCAGGAACCTACTGCAAGTCACCTTATATTCCCTCCTTTAGGTTCTTCCATCTCTAAAAAATGCAGAAGTTTGCTCAGTCCTCTTCACAAGGGTATTACAGGGCAGTGGAAAAACACATCATTTATTCCTAAATACCCATTTCATTGATTATCCAGTTAATGTTTAATTCCTGCCAATTGAAGTCCTTTATAAAACAATGTGATTTTTATTTCTTTTAATGTTTACTTCCAGAATAGCTTATCCTAGGATGGTATCCCAAATCACATTTGTGGGTCCCTCCCCTTGCTGTAGACTGAGGTAAACAGGAAATGAAAAATCACTATACCATGAGCCTGTGCAAGAACAGCAAAGGAGGTGGACCTGATGCTTCGACCAAAATAGAAATAAGTACAACGTGCCCCAAACTAAAAACACAGGGCTTGGAGAAATTTGCATGCTGGTTCCCTCCCTTCTGCACATAGCTGAGAATTAACTGCAGATGAAAGTCCTTTGATCTTTAGAAACCTGAGGCATCAGGCCGCCCAGGGTTAGTGATCAACAACGCTTCTGTTTGAACTTGTCTGGTATTTCACATTTATCAGCCCTAATGTTACAAGCTTACAGTGGTACCGATTTTAGTCAAATCTGGCACTCTCGGTCCCTGTGATGCTACAGGTAAGTATGTCACCCGGGATAAGCTGGCAGCTTACAAAACATTTTCAGATTATCTTCACGTTGAGTAATGAAAACTATTGTCCTGCCATGTGTTCTCACTGGAACTGACCAGAGGGGTAAAAGGGGGAGCAGTCAGGCAGTTGAAAACCCTTTTCCTGCTTGGCAATGCTGCCAAGCTCCATCTGCTACTTTCATCTTCCTACACTTTCCAGTCAAGCCTCACCTTGCCTGGACACCTTCCTTCGTTGTTATCCCTGCATTTCTGAGAAGCAGTGATCCGGTTTTCCTATCTCCCAATTAGACTGTGAGCCCCCTAGAGGGTAAGTACTAGTTCTACTTAACTGAACTCCCAGCATGCTCACAGTGGGTGGCATCCAGAAGGAAATAAATGTTGGATGAATGGACAAGAGATTGAGTGAACACATTAGAACAGGACCAGCCACCACTGGTAGAACAGGCTTACCCTGTGAGCCATCTCTCCAGGGTGCTGAGCTGCTGTCACCCAGTCTTGCTCTTGGTGATTAGTATTAGGCATTTTTGAGACAGCTAGTTGGGAATGGCAGAGGGAAGAGATGGAAGGGCCAAGTCTGATAGCTAGGAAGATGTCTCTTGTTTAAACAGCAGGCTTGGATGATGCTTGCTTGTCAGCCCTGACCCTGTAACTCGATCTAACCATCTAACTAATCTCCAGAAGACACTGGAAGAACTATCAGTCTAGCAGGCAAGAAGCCAAATGATGAAACCTTCAGGATGAAAAAACAGAGGGGAAAGGGTGGAGAAAGGAAGTTAGTTCAGCCAGATGTACTTAAAACTTCTCAAGGAAGAGTTAAAAATGGGGGAAGGAGCCATTGGGGAGGCAGGGCTGCAGTGAAACCCTGGCCCCTAGGGAGCAAGATCAGTGCAAGTGAGGCAGGGCTTGAAAGTCAGGGGGAGGGGGGGTGCCAAGGCAGTGCTCAGGAAGGAGGCCGCGCTCCCATCTGGAGAGCCAAGGGGCTGGGGCTGTTGAACAGATGGAGGGAAAGTTGCAGCTGGTAGAAATGCACTTTCATGTGTAAAGTTTGGTCCTTGGAGGATTGTGATTTCCAACTCTGAAGGCAGCAGTGGGCAGGTGGCTCTGCTCCATGCTCCGCCTTATCCCCCCATTACCACCCAGAAAACTCTACAGCGGCTCTGTGCCAGGACTCAGCCACCATGCCTTCCGCCAGCATCCCTTTCAACAGGCAGAAGCTGGCATGGTGACACCTTGGCACAGTCAGGATGGCAGAGGACTGCAATGCTTTCGCAGCTGAAGGGGGGCAGGGGAATAGGAGGGATTAATCCAGCCTCCCTGGAGGGGACCAGGTGGACTGAGAACAGACGGAGAGATGGAGGGAGGGAATAGGAAAAGTACATTCACAGACTTTCCAAAGCTGTTTATGATACATGCATGGGGTCTCTCTGTCATGCTTTGGCTGAGAGAGGCAGTGGGGAAAAGAGAAAAACTAGCAAACTCTGGGAATCTGGGTTCATTTAACCCTAACCTTGAGGTACTTCATAAGGAGAGAATATACCTTCGGTTTTTCATGACATGCTTGCCCACCCAAACTTAAGAAGTGATGCCTACATCTGTAGCTATAACAAAACAGCCACCTGTCATAGCATATTCAGAGCTTTGCCCACAGGAATAGAGACTGCTGGCACAGCCATACAATCATACAATCTCTCAAGGTTCTACCTTATCATGCTCAGACTCTTGGGGAATCACCTGGACAACCATGCCACCCACACCTAAGAGAGCGGCCAGGGGCAGAGTGGGATGCGAGCAGACCCCTGCCTCTTCCTTCTCTTTTTATTTGTACTAGACTATGCCCCAGTTGATCAAGAACAGAAACTGCCCACTCATCTTGTGAAAATCCAAGAGCTTTTTTTAGAATATGTGATTTTGCTTCCTTTGATTAAAAAAAAAAAAAAAAACAAAACAAAATCTGGAACCCAGTTCCTTATCACTACTAAGTCCATTTTCCCAGGAGATGTCACTGTTGGAGATAATAACTTAAGTATTCTTGGAGTGGAGGTAGTCTCTCTCTTCCTAGTGGGTTGTCTTCTTTGCTCCCTTCCCAAACTTGGCATCAAGACCAAGACCTATGGAAAGGAGAAAATGGACTTAGCTTCATGGGGAGACACAAAACCTACCAATGATTTTGGGGAGTTAGTCTTGGTTCTCCAAATGGGGACTTTAAATAAACTGAATTTCAGAACACTGGTTCTACATAACTTTCTCAGAGACAACAGAATAGCACCAAACAAACAAAAAAAAATGACCAAGATACTGGTAATGACAAATATGTGTGTGTGCACGCATGCATGTTCACATGTTCATATTTGTGTGTGTGTGTGTGTACATATAGCAAGACTGAAAGAAAGTTGAGTCAGAATGTCTAAGATAGTTTTCTCAGTTCATCTATGTCATCACAAGTTAGTAGGGAATAGCATAATTTTGTCTTGCTCAGGATCTGGGTAAATCAAGTCAGTGGAAGGAGACCACTGAAGAACAGCACACTAAGAAGAATACATTAGAAATAATGCTTCCTTTTCTCTTTTGAGAAAGTTTTCTCTAAAACAGCTAAATTTTCAAATACATAAATATATTTTAGGGGAAAAAACATAAAGAGCTCTGTCATCGCCCCTCTGTGTAGCCAAGAGAGGTGTCTTCTCTGGATGGAACTTACCCAGGAACACAAGCACAGTGCCTACCCACTGCATGAGGCTAATGGGGTTGGCAAAGAGGATCACAGAGGCCAAAATAGTGAAGAACTTCCGAGTTGTCGTGATGATTGAGCAGGTCAGGGGACCAAAATACACAACTGTCATGAAGATGAAGCTCTAGAGAATGAGAGAAAGGTGGCTCAGGTTGATTCTTAGGTATCTTACCATTAGGTCTAAAGTAACAGACATCAGGGCTAATCTTGACATTTCTTATCTCAGCCAGGCCAGTCTTTCCCAAGGAACCAGCCACTACCACAAGGAAGCCAAGATATCCCCTCTCAAGAACTCACCTGACCCAAGGCACTAGTCAGGCCAAAGAGCAGGATATTATAGATGATGATTGGGTACCTTTCAGCAAAGCTCAAGAACTCCCAGAGCTCCCCAGTGAACAGGATTCCTAAGAAGAAACAGTGAAAGATAAATGGCACATCTTATGTGGCACACACACCTATGCATGGTCTGCTCCAGTACTATGAAGGAGGATAAGTATGGAAAACTACATGGAGTGCCTTTATATTGCCTGTCATGCATCTTTCTCATGTTTTTGTTTTGTTTTCTGATTAGAAAAACTAACTAAAGACTTGATTTGGTGAGAAAGGCTTGAAAGTTAAGGAGTTACTTCCACTCCAGTGATTGGAGGCAGCAGAGATCCTTGGGTGCTGTGGAGAGAGATAGTGACCCATATACCTCTCACTCAAAGAAGCTCCTTGCATTAGTCACCTCCAGCCACCTCTAGCCTCCTCCATTAACCTGATGTGCTACACAAAAAATACTTTCTACAGGTGCCCAGATTTGAAAAATTAGGAAACAATCATTTCAAAGCAAAATATAAGCCAGGGAAACTCAGTGAGACCCTGTTTAAAAATATAAAAAGGGCTGGGGATATAGTCCAGTGGTAGAGTTTCCCTGGGGTTCAATCCCCAGTACCAGGGGAGAAAAATGCACTCACATTTGAACTGCTTTCAGTGTATACCTGTTTGTTTCCTATGAACACCATTCCAATATCTTGTTTGCCTCTAAGAGGGAAAGTTCCCAGGTACTTCCATGTGTTTTACAATGTGTGTCTTCCCATGATATCTGACACACAGAGAGACCCCCTGTTGCATTAGTGACAGGTAGTAAGCAAATCCTGCTAGTGCAGGTCATTCCAGGAAGGTTTCTCAGGGTTTAGACAGAAGGGCATCTTGGAACCAAGCACTGGTCTGCACAAAGTAAGCAACTGGCAGCAGAGATAGGATCAACTGGACAAGTGCAGTCTGCCCTCTGGTGATACATGGAAAGAATAGCAGAACTGCTCCTTACCAGCTCCTAGAAGCAATGTCGACCAAAGGTTGATGTTCAACATCATGTGGTTGGAGCCTGTTTGGTAATGAGCCCGCATGTGGTCCTGGGAAACACCTGTCAGTCCATCCAAGGTCAGAGACAATAGCTGGGAAAGAAAGGGAGCAACCTGCAATGCAACCACCAAGTCCTCTCCCTAATTCAGGACACAGGATTCCTATCCTCAGGGCTCCTCAAAAAGCCACTACCCCAGGACAGAGACCTAGGAACACTGATGTCATTTGGTCCTGGGTAGAAGGTGGGCAGAGATGATATCCGTCCCCCAGGCACTGAATTGACAGGCTAACTGAGCTGTAGAATGGAACTATAATAGAGTAGAGCTTTCATTAAAACTGGAGAAATCTAATCCCATCAGGTTAGTTTCCTAGCTTGAAGTACAGTGCTTCAAATAATGGATTCTGTGGTCAGACTGCCTGGTTTGGAATCCTAACTCCACCATTTAAATAGCATGGACAACAAGCCTCGGTTTCACTATCTGTAAAATATTACCTGTGTTAGGAGATTGTTGTAAAAATCAATTAATATGTAAAAGATTTGGAATGGTCCCTAACACATAAGCAATAGCTCCCAGTGTATTATTTTTAACCCTGGCCTCCACACTGCTTGGAAGTTCACAGTAAGAGCTACATTATTCCTTTTTTCTCAGGTCTCCATGACCTCACATTATGATCTAGACACAAACCTCAGAGTTAACTGTTCCCCAGAAGCTGTAGTTAAATATTTCAGGCTTCCCATCATGGGTTCAGCAGAGCCCAAAAATGGAGGGCAAGGAGTACCACAACCTTTCTCAAGACATGTAACTAGCCTTCTGTCTCCAAAGTAGGGCTGTCCTCTGGTTAACTTTGCCAGAAAAGTCTGCCCTCCCCAGGACTGCATACCAGGAGTAATTCTCCATAGCCGATTGTGTGTTCTTCCATCCCAACTACTTTCTTGGGTTTGTACATGAAAAGGGCCACTCCAGCCACAATTAGCAACACACACAGGTACTTGGCCAATGGGTACTTCTTCTTCAAGAGGGTCACCCCAAGGAGCATGACTACAGGGAAAAAAACAGAGTGGAAAATTCAGGTACTCACAGGCATCAATTACCCCGGTTACCCTCCTCCCAGGAGCCAAGAAAAGACTCAGGAAGAAAAGAATGTCTGAGAAAGAAGTCCTAAAGAAAATGAGAGGAGGGGTGCCAAGCTGGCACCTAGATAAAGATGATTGAGCAACAAGCTTGAGTAGAGTATAAGGCGGAGAAAAGGTAGAGGACAAAGGTGAAAGTTATGGGAAGAAATGCAGCATGAGTGGGAAACAGTGGGGAAAGATGAGGGGTTGAGAAAAAGAAACTGATGAGCAAAATGGGACTTAGGATATGTAATAATAATGTAAACACATGGACACCAAAATGACTGACCACGTGAAGCTGACTAGGCTAGTCTCCAGCTTGCACTGAGGTTTACCAGCCGGTACACACCACAGGAAATGGCAAAGATGCCTAGATGGGCAGGGAGAAGGACTGAAGGAAACTCTTTGGAGAAAGGTATGATGAAATCCAGAGAGACACAGATCTCTCTGGCAGAGGAAAAGTGAGCTTATTCCAGGAAAAGTGAGGACAGAAGATGGAGATCATCTTCTTCTGCTTACCTGGGATTGGCTTGCAGGATTTACCAAGGACCTGAAATTAAATTCAGCAAATAATTTCTGAGCATTTATGACATGCCAGGAACCATACTGCATGTCACATTAAGTAAGCAAAGGGCTTACATGGGGCACATTAGCCTCAGAAAGCAGCCCTGTCATTGCCCAACCCACCACTATACCCTAGCTCCAGGTTTTATACTCTGAATTTCTCAAATACTGTTTCCCAAGGCTGTTTCTTTTTATTTAAGTCACAGACATGACAGAAGCCCCCTCAGTTCTTTTCAAACAATTCTGAGCCAACACTCATCCCACCCTGAAGTTTCACCTGAGTTGGATAGTTGACAAACTGTAGTGCTGAGTTGCTGGAGACCATAGCACCCAAATAGGACAAAGAACAGGCAGCATAGAGCCAGCTCCGAGTACGATCCACCCTGGCAGTGTCAAAAAACTGGATCACTGGGAGAAGAAGAAGAAAAAAAAACATACAAGAGAAACCTGGTGGGGCTAGGATGGACCACTAAGCAAAAGTTGAAGCTGCATGAAAGGAATTTGCCAAACTATTTCTATTTTCTTAGACTGAGGAATCGCTGAAAATTATTCAACTCCCCAATTCCACCTGATCCTAACACAAGATGACATGTTGGGTGGAGATGGGGATCTCATTCCATTCAAGAGAGGACTTAGCCCTGCTGCTAGTCTCCTGGAAACAAAAAAAGTTCAAAACATGTTTGAAGATGACACACAAAGGAAAGTCAAAGGGCCAAAGGAAAAAAAGTTTTTAAGTATTCTCAATAGGGATTTAGAACACAAAAGATCCACTTTCTGCATATTTCTAACTCAAAAGTTGGGCTATGTAAGGAAATAATATTTAATCTCATTTCAAAATTATTAGTTTTACAGACTGCAGAGAGGTTGTGTGATAACTAAAGTGGGTGGAGTTTGAAAAAGTAAAACTTTAAGGTGAATCAATGCCTAATGCCCAGGGTGGCAGGAGGTGGGGGACATTCAACAATTTACTATTTAGGTACTCACAGATCTTGGCAAACACAGCATTGATCACACACTGGATGAAGACTAGGGTTAAGGCAAAGGTGAACGTCTCCTGTTTGGCTCCCTCCCCATATTTTCCTCTTGTTCTAAAAATACAATGCATGAGAAAACAAAGGGGGAAATTAGTATACTTCATTCAATTTCATCTAGTGTGTCCAGAGCCACTGAAGGCTTTGGAGTTATCTTTCCTCTTTGGATGTAGGGAGAAAATGTCTGTGAGGATCACTGGGCTCATTTACAAAAGGGGTTGATTTTATTGGATCGAGACAATAGGCACCTCAGTATCCCACAGTCGAAGGAAATAATATCCATAAAGGAGAGAGATAAAGAACACAAGTAAAATTTGACAGTGAAACGAAGTACCCCAGGCAGAAGTATTTGCGCTAGACAGCAAAGCCGAGAGCAAAAGAACAGGCTGGGTGCAAGCATCTGGGAGTTTCAAAGAGCAGCTGGTTCAGGTCAAGGAAACCTGCTCTGGGGTAGAAGTTCCAGGTTTTTTGTTATTGTTGTTGTTATTTTATTTTGAGACAGTCTCGCTAAGTTGCTGAGACTGGCTTTGAACTTGGGATTTTCCAGCCTTAGCCTCCCCAGCCGCTGGGCTTACAGGCGAGCACCACCACGCCCAGCAGTTCCAGGTTCTTGAAACCAGCAAGAGCAAAAACACTAAAGGAAGAAAATTAACCAGGTACCGAAAATCCAGAGGCCAACTCTGGTGTTTTGGAATTAGCGGGTGGCTCAGCTGGGGATACATACGTAGCGGAATACTAGGAGGGCCAGAGCCAGGCGGAAGAACAAGAGGAAAGCCCATGGCCAGAAAATGAAAGTCTGAGAACTGGAACGCAGGCTGGGCAGAGAGGACTGGGTGAGGGGGAATGTCTGCGTTCCCTCCCCGGGGGTCCGCTCACATCTTTTCCTGCAGGATCCCATAGTAGAAATAGCAGACAAAGACACCAAGGAAGCAGAGCGGCAGGCGCAGCCGGTCGGGCACCAGAGATTTGCTAGCGGCCATGAGACGCCCGGACGAGCCGACCACAGACCCGCTCACAGCCGGTAACGGCACCGGCGGCGGAGGCGACAACTCCAGGTGGACATCGCCGACCGGCGGCAGGGGCCTCATAGGAGCTGCATGCGACCGCCTCTCACTAGGCCCCAGAAGTCACCTCCAGAATTGCCAGCTCAGGGCTGCCGAGAGGGAAATTCCTTAGAACCCAGCAACCGCCTTCTAGGAAAGAAGAGCGACGCTGAGACCTTGGCTCCATTCCTGGTGGTCAGGGGAGTAGGAATTCGCAAGGTTAACGCCTCGCTAAAGAGATTCTTTTGACCAGGCAATTCCGAAGACAACTGCAACCCGGAGCTCACCGGGGTGGCTTGGGAGATACCCGGGCGTGTGATGATGACGTATAAGGATGTGGAGGTCACCAATTGGCTGCACTGCGTGAAGATAGACAGGTGGGCGGGGAAGGAGGAGGGGCGCCGGCGGGGCCCATCGAATAGTCTTTCTACGGGTCTGCAGCCCGGCTTCTGCTGGGTCCTAACACCAAGAAGCAAGTGGAGCCTTGGCGCCCTCTAGCTGCTACGTAGCGTCAGCAACTCGAGCGGACTCCTCCAGAGCGTTCAAGGCCTGGCTTAGAGGAGCAGGGCTCTTTACAAAGCGGTGGGTCAGGGCTCTTGTCACTTTAGATCCGGGCATCCTACACGTGTAGCCTAAATTCTGAGCCACGTTCAGAAAACTAGAGATAATTAGTAATAGCCGCGTTGTCGCCCCTTCACTGTCCTGAGCATCAAATGAGCTGAGGTTTATGAAAGTGTTTTATAAACTGTAAATTGTGACCCACTTGAATCAAAGTGTGAAATATGATATATCAAGAAATTTGTAATGTTTTGAACAACGAACAATAAAAAAATTTAAAAAAAAACCTGTAAATTGTGATGTGGAAATTTAAGATATTATTGGTCATTACTGTTTCTCAACTCCGATCTTATTTCATCACATCCTGGAGGTGGAAATGCAAGCTTATTGAAGTGAATTTTCTTCAAGGCCTTCCAGCTCACCAACAATGGAGCAAATACTTTGGCTGCCCCCCAGCTTCTTTCCCACCATTATTAAGCCC